GCCTCCTACAAGGGTTCTGATAATAAGGCTCCATAATATGAAGATTATTTTGGGAATAGTCTGCAGTGCTTCGGTGTGCTATGCTTGTCATGCGATGTCGTAACATGATTTTCGACAAGGGCAATCGGCAAGCATGTAAAAGATAGTCACGCACATGTATTCGTGCATACTCTATACATGCATATGTATATGTATACAGACACAAGCACGTACACACACACATATATATATATATATACACACACATGTGTATATACTTAGACTTGTAACTATGCCATATGCATGCATGCATGCATACATACATACATACATACATAGGTTATATATGTGTGCAATGTACAATGTACGCTATGTGTGCGTGTGGGTGCGTGCGTGTGTGCATGCATGCGTGCATGCGTGCTCCTCTGTCTGTACGTGTGTGTGTGTGTATCTCCGTGTGTGCATGTGCATACAAACATCTTACAAACTAATTGCAATGGGATTCTGCGGGGATGTACACTATACTGTGTACTGGGTCATGTTCGTAACCGCTACGTTGAACAAAACGGACTGCCCACAGTGACTCGATGGCCTTAAACGTTTTTGAGTCTACCAAAGCGGACAACTCCGCAATGGATGATACTGTGCTTATACCAAGTAACGGAGCCATCTTGCTGCTCATTGTGACTACCCTAAGGCCCCAAAATAGTTCCTTTTTGGGGGTCATATTTAGAATCCTATAAGGCAATCCCAAAAACTACTCCCCCAAAGCCTCAACCTCCAGTACGATGCGTCACATCATGATGTACCTGGGGATCCCAAATCCTACTGGTTTGAGGGTTACACCCTCAAACTAAGGGGTCATAACCAACTACTTCCCTCATTTTAAGGGGTCATAACCTACTATTTCCTCAAATTTAAGGGGTCATAACCTACTATTTCCTCAAATTTAAGGGGTCATAACCTACTATTTCCTCAAATTTAAGGGGTCATAACCTACTATTTCCTCAAATAAAGGGGTCATAACCAACTATCTTTGAAGGATTTGGGGATACAGGTGAGCCCTGAGCCTGGCATACGCCCGAAACCGCCTACGAACCCGAAGCCCAATCCTAAACGCTCACATGCTGAGGCGGATCTGAATACATGGCACACCCCGAAAGCCTTGCAATGTGAGGTGTGGGGGTGAATAGTTGGAACAGAGTATCGCGGCATGTTGCATTACAAACTGCATGTAATAGCGAGTTCAAGGGTACACTATTTTTCGACAGTTCGGACCTCTTTCATACTATTACTGGGAAAGCCCCTGAGAACATTGACTATTCAGACCTCCACCAAAACCCCAAACCGCGTGATATCGTGCACATGTCGTGGGGGCCCGGCTCGGTGGAGATTGACTCGAGACTGGTCACCTTATCAGATGGCTAGTTCTCTCAAACAGGGTCCCTTCTTTTAGGATGTCCTTAAGGGGGGGTGGTCCAAGGGGGGTAGGCAACCTAGTAATCCCCATTATTCCCCAATACTCCCTAAGCTTCCCTAAGGTTCCCCAAAGCTCCCTAGTACCCTCCCCCCTTGAACCACCCCCCCTTAAGGATCCTATAAGTCTTATTCTTTAGCACCCGCAAAACAACGCGGTGACCTTACAAACAAAAGGAACCTTAAAATGGAACCTTCAAAGGCACCCTAATTTAAAGAACTACACACTTTTATAAGGCGTTTAGAGGGTTAGCCTCTTCATCTGAACGTGTCCGGTTGGGGGGTTGGGGCCCCCTAAACCCTAAACCATCAGGCTGCGAGTTCGGGCTTCAAAGCTTCGGAATGTCAGGGTTGAAGGGAGATAAGGATCTTGTTCGTCCGCTTAGAAAGTGGGCAGTTCTCTGAATCAGAGTTCCTTCTGGGGTCCTTTTTATAAGGCTGCCGTACTATTTGGGGGTTCTAAAGAGGTGACACTAACCCAGAGACTTCATTATACCTTAATTAAGGAATATACCTTAAATTATACTAGGATCCTAAATATGATTTAAGGTATATTCCTTTTTAAGGGATGTTGGAGTCTCTGGAAGGAAAGAGAGTTGCCTATGTGGTGATGAAAAGTCCTGGTCTGGTGGGACCTACATGCAATAGCCCTGACAGATCCTATAGTCTCCATTGTAGTTCCTTGTTTTGGTTTAACAATTTCTATATTTAAGGATCCGAAAAGGTAACCCCAAAAAGGAACTACAATGGAGACTATACCCTAAACACTAAACTCCTAAACCCTTTCAAAGGAACCTTAGACCCCTGTAAAGGAACCCTCAACCCCTTTGAAGGGACTACAATGGAGACTATAGGTGGTTCCTTTTTGGGGTTCATATTTAGAATTCTATAATGTATATAATCCCAAAACGGAGCTGCCATGGAGCCTATGGGTAGTGTCCAGTCCATTTTATAGGATCCCCATAAGGCCCTCACGAAACTCCCAGTCAATCCAGAAACCATTGCTTTCAAATGGGAGTTTCCGAAAATTAGGGTACCTTATTTTGGGGTCCTTATTCTTATTATAAGGATCCTACTCTTGAGGGTACTATATTATTAGGGTCCGCTATTTTCGGAAGCTTTTAACTTTGAAACCCTCAGACAGGACAACACACACGTAGAGAGACCCTCGGCCCTAACCCCCTGAACCCCTACACAATAAAACCCTTAATCCATACAGCCCTAAACGCCTAAAGCCCTAAAACCCCTAATCCCTAAAGCTCTAAATGCCTAAAAGCCCTAAAGCCCCAAAGCCCTAAAACCCCTAATCCCTAAACCCCTAAAGCCCTAAACGCCTAAAAGCAGGTGGTTCAGAGCCGAGTCGCGACCAGTTCCGGCCGACCCAAGGCCCTCAGCGTAGCCATGGACCGTGAGGCATCGGAGGTCCAGGTGGCGATGAGGTCCGCGGCCTCTCCGGGACTGGGGGCATCCCCGTAAGGGACCCTTTAAGGGATACTATAATCATAAGGGTTCGTTTAGGAGTTGGGGGTTTAGGGTCTAGGGTTCCTTGAAGAGTCCCTGTAAGGGATGTCCCCTTTAAGGGATACTATAATCATAAGGGTTCGTTTAGGAGTTGGGGGGTTTAGGGTTTAGGGTTCCTTGAAGAGTCTCTGTAAGGGATGTCCCCTTTAAGGGATACTATAATCATAAGGGTTCGTTTAGGAGTTGGGGGGTTTAGGGTTTAGGGTTCCTTGAAGAGTCCCTGTAAGGGATGTCCCCTTTAAGGGATACTATAATCATAAGGGTTCCTTTAGAAGTTGGTGGGTTTAGGGCTTAGGGTTCCTTAAAGAGTCCCTGTAAGGGATGTCCCCTTTAAGGGATACTATAATCATAAGGGTTCCTTTAAGAGCTGGTGGTTTAAGGTTTAGGATTTCCTTCAAGAGTCCCTTTACGGGATACTATCAGGGTTCCTAAATACTATGAAGGTTCTTTAAGGGCTCCTTTGAAATTGGACTGCTATCGGGTCTTAACATTTATTGGTTCAGGGCTTGATCTAGGGGTCTGAAGAATCAAAATAGGACAGGGATTTAGAGTATGTTGCGGTATAAGCATACAGTAAAAACATGGATAGTGGTCAAGACTATACATACTAAGTTAAAGGCTTCGGGATAAGGTTTAGGACTTTGGGTTTGAGGGTTGAGTGTTCAGGGCAGCTTCAGGCTTAAGGATAGGGTTTAGGGCTTCAGGGTTTTGGGGGTTCAGGGCTGCGGAATTCTGGTCTTTGGGGGAGAGGGGCCGGCTCATCTCGCTAAGCCTTAGTGTAGGAACCTGATTAAGAAACCTTGGGCCTTTCATTATTGGTTTCCTTCTATGAAGCCTACTATTTTGGGGGTTCTAGTGTTGATGATACAAATCCTGCACTACCTCAAGGGCCCTAAACTATGGGAATTATAGTATATTCCTTATTATGGGTAATGCAGGATTTATATCATCAACCGTAGGGCCAGGGTTTCTTAATCAGGTTCCTACACTTCATCTGTCAAGCCCCTGCAATCCTTGACCCGGCCCTGAACCGTTTAGGGTTCAGGGTTTAGGGATTAGGGTTTGGGGTTTAGGCTTTAGGATTTGGGGTTTAGGGTTTAGGGTTTGGGGTTTGGGTTTAGGGTTTTTGAGTTTAGGGGCACTGAACCCCTCAATCTCTTACTATAGTAGGGGCCTTAATAATTAGAATGGGGTTTTGGGATCCACTATAGCATTCTCATAATAAGGAACCCACCTAAATAGCATAGGTAATAATTTGGGCCTATATTCGGCCTCCTCAACAGGAGCTGTTTCGATTGTCGACGCGGCGTCAGAGTCTGTGACGGCGACTTCGGCGCCTCATTTCTATGCTTTAGGGTTCAGGGTTTAGTTTTTGAGGTTTTTAGGGCTTAGGGTTTGAAATGTCTATGAAGCTCTGAAGGGGGCCCAGCTTGATAAGGGCTCTGGTAGGTGGTTTAGGTTTCGCAGGATTTGGGGAACGGGTCTTTAGGGGTACTTTTGGGGCCAGCGTTGAGAGGTTTGGGCGTTTGGGCTGAACAGGGTCCTAGAAGTTTCTAGCCCAACATACGGTTGATGATATAAACCCTACATCAATTACACGCAACAGGGAATTTACCATAATTCCCATAGTCCAGGGGAATTAAGGTATTCCAGGATTTTTATCAGCAAACTTAACACCCACAACTTCTACAACCTAAACTCTTTCAGTTCATGCCACTCTGTGGGGGTGGGTCGGACTTCACTATTTTCACTATGTGGCCCTGTGGTATCGTTGAGTTCAAACAAGAATCGCTCCCCAATGTGTCAGTGTGTATAGATATATATATAAGTAAAAATGTACATATGTATATATATATATATATATGTATACATATGTATGCATGTATGTATGTATGTATGTATGCTTATATATATGTATATATAAGTATACATACATATATATATATAGATATGTATACATATATGTGTACATATCCCTAAATCCTGAAGCCGTGCCGTGCAAAACTCTCGCAGGACTTTTTCTCTCAAGCGTCGGGCCGCTTTGCCAGGCCTCAGGGCCAAAGTGCAGCAGGGACGTGCGATGAGGAATATTTTTTAGGTTTAGGGTGTTTCGGTTTAGAATTTAGGTCAGGGTGTTTCGGTTTAGAATTTAGGTTTAGGCTGTTTCGGTCTGGAATTTAGGTTTAGGGTGTTTCGGTTTAGAACTTAGGGTATAGCATATAATTAGAGGTGTTGGGTTTAAGATCCTAGAGTTTAGGCCTGCTTAGGATGTAGAGGTGTTGGTTTTGGAAACAACATGCAGGGTTGAAGATTCGAGAGCTTCGGTTGATGATATAAATCCTGCATTACCTTAAAGACCCTAAACTGTGGGAATTACGGTATACTCCTTCTTATGGGGAATGCAGGATTCTTATCCTCAACCGTTGCATCTTGGGAATATGGTAGGAGTGCTTCTTCATGGCAGGAGCCAGCCTGTGATGACACCCTAAACCCTAAACCCTAAAACGCTAAGCCTTTAGGGTTTAGGGTTTAGGGTCTCGGGTTTAGGGTTTAAGCCCTAAACCCTAAAACCCTAACCCCTAAACCATGGAGGAGCCAGCCTGTGATGACGGTGAAGGGCTCCAGGGGTCTCACTGCGTGCCACCAGCCGTGCGGGATGAAGAGGGCATCTCCTGGCCCAGAGACTCCAGTATCTTAGAGGCTGCCCCCACCCTGTAATAGTGACTATGAGGATTATACTAATAATATATTAGGGCCCTATTATGTTCCTATTATACCACTATTACAGGGTGGGGGCCCCTTCTAACCACTATCCTTTAATTAAGGAATACCTAGGTTTCCTTTGAAGGATCTATAAGGGCTCTATATAGGGCTTAGGCTTTAGGAAACTCCAATATCCCTCAATTAAGGAATAGACCTTAAACTTCTAGTAGGATCCCTAGTATGATTTAAGGTATATTCCCTAATTAAGGGATAAACCTTACATTTCTAGTAGGATCCCTAATGCGATTTAAGGTATATTCCTTAATTAATTAAGGGATAAACCCTCAAATTCTTGTAGGATCCCTAATATGATTTAAGGTATATTCCTCAATTAGGGGATATTGGAGTCTCTGGGGAGTTCAGTCAAAGGCCGGGTTCTTTGATGGACTGGGTTTAGGGCTCTTGGGGTTTAGGGTTTTAGGGTTTAGGGTTTTAGGGCTTTAGAGTTTTAGGGTTTAGGGCTTTAGGGTTTGGGGTTTTAGGGTTTAGGGTTTTTTGGTTTAAGGTTTAGGGTTTAGGGCTCCCTTAGGGGTCCTTTAGTTGATCTACTGTAGAGTTCCGTAAAAGAGTGTTGGGGACTAGCGCTCAGGGCTGGAAGTACAAATGTTAATTACGTTCATGGCTGATATGTGCATACACACGCAGGTACTGGCACACATTGACATGAATGAATGTCTGCTTCATGTTGTGCATGCATAACCTATTTGAGTGTCCCAAAATAGACAGACCCCTCATTTCCAAACATCCCGATCTAACCTAGTTGAGTAGCCAAGAAAGCCTACAGCCTTAAACCCGACAACAGACACACATTTGGGTAGCTCTCTAAAATAGGGTCTCATGTAGGGTCCTTCTTGTAAGGGTGCCGTACTATAGTGGGGACATGTTTGGACCTAAGAAGGGAGCCTAATTTAGAGAGCTACTCAAACTAAACCCTAAAGCCCTAAAGCCCTAAACGCCTAAAATCCTAAACCCGCAAAACCCTAAACCCCAAAACCCTAAACCCCCAAAAAAGGGACCCTAATTTGGAGAACTCCGCATTTCTTCGCGGCCTGGGCGGAGCTCGACGCGGCCGCCGCGCACGTCCGGTTGCAGAGCGAGGTCGGCCAGGGCCGACCAGAAAGCCTCGCCTTCGCGTCCTCTCAAGGAACCCTTAAAGGAACCCTTGAAGGAACCCTGATGGGTTCCTTTATTAAGGGTTCCTGTAAGGGGTTTTCGTAGGGGCGTCTAGCGGCTTTGGGTTTTAGGGTTTAGGGATTAAGACTTAGTCTCAGATAAACTTCCACGGATTTTCCGGTCTTTTCGGGTTTGGGGTTGTTATGCAAAAGTAGGAAACAACTGTTGATGTTGACTCGGAGGGCTTGAGGATAGACTTCCTTCGAGTTTCTCATACGCTGCGACATCGATTCATAGACGGAAGAGCAGAGAAAACTCGAGGAACTCGATCGAATACGACACAGATTATGGCTAGCTATGATGGTGACAACAGGTCATCGTAACGAGAACAGCCGGCAAACAGAGTCGTGGCACTAGCAGTGCAGCAGCCGTAGCACAAGCAGTAGTGCTGAGCACTGGCTCAATCTCTCTGAAGTGATTAAGGAGGAGCCGTACCTGGTACCCTGACAGACTAGCGGCACCAGCAGCAGCAGAAGCAAGAGCAGGTGCAGGAGCAGTCGCAGTGGGAGCAGTCGCAGTAACGTCGAGGCCTTAATAATTAGAATAGGGTTCGGGAGCATATTATTCTATAACTGCACAAAGGAACCCCCAAAACCCCATTCTGAGGCCCCTTCACACTAAACCCCCATAAAAACCCCTCCCCCAAAACCTTGTTAAGGCCCCCTGGCATATAACCCTACTCTAGGTCCATTTTAAACCCCTTATAAACCCCTTCTCACTATGAAGGCCCCTACAGTAGCACCCTGGGGGTCCATGTACCTAAATAGCATATACCTTGGGCCCAATGTATCTATATAGGGAGTACTTTAAGGCCAATGTATATCTAGGATATACCCAGTAACCTAAGAACAAAAAGGCCTCTCTTTTTGGTATTGGGTAACTTTATAAGGAACCTAGGACTACAAAAAGAGAATAAGGGTACTACTGGGCATCCTAGGACATGGACCCTTAGGGGCAATCGCAGTGGCTTCAGAGCTCCAAAGTTCCGAGCCACCTCGCAGCTCGGAGGCTCTCTCGCAGTTGGGGCTTGCCTGGGTTCTTGGCTGGGTGTATAGGTTTAAGGGTTCCCTTTATAAGGGACCCAATAAGGGATCCTACGAAGGATCCATAAGGGTTTAGGGTTTAAGGTACAGGGTCCAGAGTTTGGGGTTTAGGGCTTTGAGTTCAAAGTTTGGGGGTGTGGGCCGTGTGGGTTTAGGGTTTTTTGAGTTGTAGTCACCAGCATGCGGAAAGCACATTGCCTACTAAACAGGCGAGTCAAAAAACACACACCTTGACATAGACGGACAGGCAGACAGACCCACGGACAGACAGGCAGACAGACCGACAAACAGACCGACAGAAGTACATGCACGACCATCGCAACACTTGGTTATACACTGAAAACCACTTCTGAGGAACTGGCACTACTTGCTACGTACCCAAATCAAGAAGCAGAATATCTACTGTGGATCATGACAGGAAACGTGCAGTCATAGGAACACCATGATTCTTGCGCATCGTTTCTGTGGGACACATACCTGGCGCTGTAATAAACAATCTCTCAAGAAACGATTCGCTATTGTTGCAGTTGGTGCGTTATCATGCAACATAATCCAGAATGATCGTACGCACAACATCCTGCCTCTTTTATAGCGGAATATGGAAGACATGCTGTTTCTATCTACAACAATACCGAAAACAAACTACTCCCACACATACCCCTATCATGCAAGCTTTGTTTCAGCTCCTTCCAAAAAGGACCCAGTTGCCTTCCATGGCATCCGGGGCTCTGTGCGTAGTTCCTGCGGCTCGCCATAAACATAAAAAAGGCTTCAGGTGTACTTCGGAGGGCTTAGGGGTTCTGGGGTTAAGGGGTTGAGGGGTTGAGGATATAGGAGAAGGGCATCTAGTAGCTGCGACTTGTTTCTGGATAATGGTCAACGCATGTACTGGGTTCCTATATATAAAAAGGATCCCCCGCAAAACAATCCTATACATGCCAAGAAGCATCTGGAGCAAGTAGGATCACCTCCTGACAGGCCGAGGTGCTGAGTGCTTGGCTTAGTCTTGAAGCCGGTTTTTCCAAACACTGTGTGAAAATAGGGAAGTTCCTTAACTAATCGTCGTCCTAAACCCTAAACCCTAAACCCTAAACCCTAAACCCTATACCCCCACGCAAGTTGAGATCAACTCCAAGGCAGGGGGTATGTTGGGCTCTGAGAACTCCGGATGTCAGAAAGTGAGTGGAGAAGAGAAGGTTTTTGCTGCTCTTGTGAGCACCGCACCAACTTGGAGGCCTAGGGGACTTAATAAGTAAGTAGGTTATAAGTAAGGTTATAGTTGGGGTAACTCCATTTAGGGTACTTTTAACCCCACTTATAACCTACTGACTTAGTCCCCTGGGCCTCTAAGAAGGCTCGCAAAGAACTGGCAACCTTGGGGTCTTGACATGCTACACTGAAGCCCTACAGCTTTGGGGTTCTAGGGTTTAGGGGTTTAGGGTTTAGGGTTTAGGGAAACCACATCCGAACCTAAACTCACAAAAATCGAAACCCTGAACCCTCTATACACTAAACCGAGATCGTGGGACCCACGGACTCTGAGCTTGGCACGCATGCGCCAGCCACGATGCTGCGACAGGGGCCTTTTCCTAAGAGCCTCCAGACCCTAAGATGCCAAATAGCATGCAGTACATATTATGAATACGAATTACTTGTAGACCTTTGCTTTCGAACCCCCAAGTACTGACTACTTGTAGACTTCAGGCCCCAAAGTAGGTACATACTCTAAGAGGAAGCCTCCTGAGAGCATCCCGTTGAGGCAGAACTCTGGTTTGGCGCTTTTTAGGTCGTTCAGCTTCTGTTTGTTTACTAGAGGGCCCGAAATAAGTCCCGATACTTATAATTATGGCATAGCGGGCCCCAAAACCCTATTCTGATTATTAAGGCCCCCATGTTACTCTGCTCTTTGTCTGCATCTGCATTGATTGGAGGTTCAAGGTGTTGCGGTTGTCGGCTGTCTCAGGTCATACCCAACGATCTAACATTACATGCATGTGTATGCAAGGTTTTAGGTAGGCAAGTAGCCACGCAGGCAAGCAGGTATTTCACGGTCTTGCTGAATTGCAATGACTCTCCCTGAACAGTAACGTTCGAATTTGGATGGTTATGCGATTCTGGGCTTCCTGACCCCTAAATCAGCCAAGACCCAAAACACCCTAAACGCCCTGAAGCCTAAAAGCATTCGCTAAACTAAACTCGAACCTATGTCCAAAAAGGTAAGGCCCCCCCAACCCCCAAATTTCACGAAACCCGAAACCCCGAAATGTCATGACTAATGAACCCCTTATAAAGAATCCCTATAAAGCGCTGCAGCCCCTGACTCCGCGTGGTTTGTGGGGCTGCCTTTCGGCCCACCGCCCCGAGAAGCATGGAGTCCAGCAGTCCGTTCTCCCAGTCTCGGTGAATGCTGTGGAACTCCTGGGTTCTAGGGGTTTCAGGGTGTAGGGCTTTAGGGTTTTAGGGTTTATAGGGTGTAGGGTTTTATATTTAGGGTTTAGGGTTTAGGGTATAGGGTTTCGGGCTTAGGGTTGAGGGTTTGGGGCTGAGAGTTCAGGGTGGGCTGTCAAATGTATGTTAGAGAGATTATCAGCGATTTGGGGTTCTTATCAGGATTTCGGAAAGTTTTCATAAGTTGTAGGTAGATGTTGCGAGGTTTTCGTCGGGTTTAGGTCTGGGTGTTTCACGTTCGGATGGACTTCTGGCTTCGGATTTTGTGTGAGGTCCAGCACCCCCAGTTTCTTTCCCAACGACCCTTGTCTCTAGGGCCTTGGAGTTCCCCAACCCTACCTATAGTCTCCATGGATTCACCTTTAAGGGTTACTATAAGGGGTGTACAGTCCCTTTAAAGGGATCTATAAGGGCTCCTATAATGGATCGTTAGGGTTTAGGGTTTAGGGTATAGTAGCTATAGTCCCCATTGTAGTTCCTTGTTTTCTGGTTTAACGATTTATATATTACGGATCCTATAAGGTAACCCAAAATTGGAACTACAATGGAGACTATAGGTAAACCCTACCTACTTGTCGGGTATCATGGGGAACTAAAGGTTAACCTTTTCGGTTATAAAGGGGCTATATAGTGGCTATACTACCCAAAAAATGTTAGAGGTTAGCTACTCGACTACTCGGCCTAAACCCTAAGCTTGCAGGCTCTGGGAAGGTCACCGGCTACTCGCATGTCAAAGCTCAGGACTGGGATTCGGACGGAGGCTGGGGGTAGCCGTGTTGGGGTTTAGGGTTCAGGGATTTGGGTTCAAGGTAACAGCCGGCCTTCCAAACCCGATAAGGCGACGTACATTGTAGAGCTATCCTCAAAAATTTGCCATTAGCCCAAACCCGAATCACTTAAACCCTGAAACCGACTCCGGATTTGTGAGGATCAAAGTTTAGGCCGCGTTTCGGTGGCTTTGGGGGCGTTGAAATCTGGATTTCGGATTCCGTTTTCGGGTTTCGTTCCTTTCTTCGGACGAGTGGCGTGGTCGTCTCCAGAGATCGTAGCGCGAGTGCCCCGACCCACCGTGATCTGACCGGGGAGCAGCAAAACGAAGGGTGAGCTAGGGACTGCGGGTGTTGGGTTCTCTTTGACTGACAGGTTTATATAGGCAGTCAGGAATATGAAACGAGAGGTATACAAAGTCATAACCTTTCAAGCAGCCCTGATCATACCCTACTGGCCAAGCCCTCCCCATCATTAAATCAAATCTGCCATGCATGCGATGCAAAGCTTTTAGTCAGTGCCGGCTAGCACGACACCTAATAGCTCCCAAGCTAGACAATGAACTCAGATGTCCTATGTACACTCACCCCCACCCAATTCAACAACCGACTTCATGTGCAAGCGCAGTTGCTGCCGAGCGGCGATGTAGTTGGCAAAAACGGAGTTCGATGCGTTTGTCTGCCAAACCTCGCATGAACTAAAACAGAGTTACTGTGGATATGTGTATTATACATATGTAAGTTTTATGTGTAAATATACCCATGTATACATATATATATAGAGAGAGAGAGAGAGAGAGAGGCAAAGAAATAGAGAGGGGACTTCAGGTGGGGATGCAGCACCCAACATCGAGCCCACCTGCGGGCAGCCAGTCAGCTCCGGCCAGCCTGCCGGAATCGAACGGACAGTGTGTTCATTTTATGAAGAGTTTAGGGGTTTAGGGTGTAGGGGTTTAGGGTGCAGGGGCTTAGGGTGTAGGGGCTTAGGGGTTTAGGGTGTAGGGGTTTAGGGTTTAGGGAGTTTAGTGTTTAAGTTTGAGTCAGGGCTCAAGGTTTAGAGGGTTCGGCATCCCATAAAGTTATTCTGCGGACTTGGGGTTTTGTGCGAAGGTGTTTATGAAGGTCTAGGTTGTTTAGCATCCAGGGACAGGGATTTTCGGGTAAGGTCAGAGGTTTAGGATTGAGGCTATGGTTGAGGGTTTTCTGGTTTAGGGGTTTTATGATTCATAGGATGTCATGCCAACACCAAATATTGTAAAACGTTGTTAAACCCGTTCAATACCCTAAAGCCCCTTTAAACCAAAAAGAACCCAAACCCCAACCCAACAAAAAACACCCTAAACTCCCCATAAACACCAAAGGAACCCAAGCCACAAATTCAAAGCACCAAAAACCACTGCCCCCACAGAGCTGGCCTTTCTCAGCCAAGGCTTTGGGCTCGAAAGAGAACTTCGCGATGCCTCAGTACTGTTTTGGAGCCCAGGATTCGAGTCAGTCAAGAGTTTAAACAACCCTAAACCCTAAACTGTCAAAAGAGGTTCAAGCTTTCTTTTTATCGTCTATGAGCTTGTCAATCGTTTTCCAACAGCCACCTACCTTTCACCTACCTGCCTATCACATGCTATGCACACGGATAACTAGCTAGCATATCTATCTGTATCTTCTATTCTACACATTGCACACATGAATACAAACCCTACCAGCCCCACCATAAGGGTCTATATACTCTCCTAAACACCAACCTACAAAAATATCATCCGTGACCCAAGTACCTCATTTCCTTTGGACCCTTAGAGCTAGAAAAGTTAAACTTTCAGCCTCCTTATTATTAGGTATAATGAAACCCCAAAATGTAAAGTCCTAAGAGCCAACCAGAGGAACGCCCCAGTAGACAGCCTTCCAGTTGTAGCTTCGGTTGCTGGAGCCCGCCCAGGAAAGATCTCCCAGGAGTGGAATGGCTTGTACACCTATGGAGCTCGGGGCTTAGGCTTAGGGTTTAGGGTTTTGAGCTTAGGGTTTAGGGTTTTGGGTTTTGGGTTTAGGGCTTCGGGTTTAGGGTTTTGGGCTTAGAGCTTTGGGTTTTGGGTGTAGGGTTTTGAATTTAGGCTTTTTGGGTTTAGGGTTTAGGGTTTTGGGTTTAGGGTTTTGGGTTTAAGTTTTTTTGTGTACATTCCTTGTAGGCTTCCTTTACACGGTTCCTGTAAGGCTAAGATTCCTTGTAGACTTCCTTGACACGGTTCCTTTAAGGGACCCCTGCTGTAGATTCCTTGTAGGCTGCCCAAACCCCCACAACCAAATACGTTTATAGTTCCTGTTTACATCAAGGCCCCGAGCCCCAAAGATCAATTCTCATACCTTGCTACAACTAGACCCAAGAGTAACCTAGGAATTAAACGGGTGCCCTTTTTGGTTTAAAGGGGGTTATAAGGGAACCTAAACCCTCAAAAAGGGAATAAGGGCCTACTCTGGGTCCTAGACTACAAGTTAGCGGCCCAAGATCCAAACCGTAAAACCCCCGAACCGAACGTTACCCCAAGCCTTTGTACAACTCTTACACCAGCCGCACCCAACAAAACCCCTGAAAAGAAGCACTAAAGCGCCTAGGGTCCTAGATCATGCCCTATAAACAGTAAACCGATTTAACCAAAACCGAAACCCTAGTGAAACTGCAAATCCCTGAACCCCTAAAACCCTCAGTAAAGGCAACAATGACAAAAACCTAAGGTAATTTCCCATATAGAATACCGTAAGCGAAACTGAACTGAAACAAAAGTTCTAGACCACAACCCGAAACCCTAGACCCTGAAACACCCAGGCCAAACCCATTAAAATCCTATGAACCCTATAAAACCTAAACCATTAAACAACAAACACTATGAGCACTGTAAACCCCAAAACCTGTGAAAATCGGCGCCTGCGGCCGTCGCCAGGTCACCGAGTCGCGCCGCTACGTCAGCGCCCCCGAAGCGGCCGTCGGGCTGAGGGGTGGGAAAGGGGGCGATGTCGTTTAGAGGTTTATAGGGTTCGTGTAAAGCGATCTATAAAGTTTAATTAGGGGTTTAATCTAGGAACCCTGATTAAGAAACCTTGGGCCTTTATTGAGGTTCCTTATATGAACCCTACTATTTTGGGGTTATAGGCCCAGGGTTTCTTAATCAGGTTCCTACATTAGGGGTTTATAGGGTTTAACGGTTTAGGGGGGTTTTGCCGTTTAGGGGCGTAGGGGTTTTATTCCTTTCGGTGGGTTCCTTGAACGCGCTTAAAGCTTAGGGTTGCGATGTTTGAAGCTTCCGTTAAGTGCGCAGAGCCTCTTTGGCACAAGGGGGTTTTAGGGTTTGCGGTTTGGAGCTTTGGGGTTTCGGTTTTAAGAATCCTTCACTTGGGGTTTCAAGGTTTAGGGCTATGATTTTGGCGGTTCCTGCAAGGGCCTAGGGTTTTTTAGGGCTTTTTGGAGGTTTCTGGCGGCTCCTGTGATGGTTTAGGATTTAGAGCTGCTTTGAGTGTCTTTGGGTCTGGGGTGTAGGGCTCCCCTTTGGGTTCAGGGTTTATGCTGTACAGGTCTCTGGGATTGGGGGTTTAGGGTTCCTTCAACGGTTCAGGGTTCCGGGCTCCTTCATCTAAGCTTGATAGGGGGTTCTTTTATTTGGTTCGGAATCAAAATTAATGTACCTGATTAAGAAACCTTGGGTCTTTATTCGGGTCCTTTATATGGATCCTGATATTATGGGGTTACAAGACCGGTATCCCTTAATCAGGTTCCTCCATTAAACTGCTGTTCCAATGGTGCGTCAATAGGCTGGTTTAGTGCTTTGATTGTTCATTTGGGCTTCTATGTTGCAGGGTCTCGTAGACATGTATGCGATGTGGTTTTCCGAGTATTTATCGTCCTGCACGAGGGATGTAAGATCTAAAGTTACTCTAAAGTTGCTTGGCAGTTCTGGGTCACTTCTTGTTCATAATAAAAGTAAAAAGTCTGACCCCAAACATAATCTATGTTCAAGAAAGTGCAAGATTTCAGCATGCAGGTGCTAGAATGCCCAGAATATATATATATATATATATATATATATATACACATACATACATATATACACACACATACACACACATATATATATATATATATGTTAGATTATACTATATTATACTATATTGCATTACATTATATATATATATACACCTTCCCTAAACCTTATCCCTAACCCGTAAGAGCGAATCAGAACTGCCGGCCGTCCCACATCGTAACCAAACAAGGAGGTCTCAGTAACTGGAAGTGACCTCCCCTTATCAAGTCCAGGGGTAAAACGGACTTTACAGGGGCCTGAATAGCTAGACTTGGGCCTTGGGAGGGCCAATTAAATACTAAGGATCAGTCAAAATGGGCGAATACTACACGCCATTAGCCACAACCCTTTTGAAACCTGTATTGATCCCTTCTTAAAGGCACATAAAACCACCAACACAACCCTGAGAACCCCAAGCAACACTGTGACACGCTAAGCTCGATCCCCAAAGCCTCAACTTGTTGTAGATGTCCTCGCTCGGTCTCGGAAAGGAGAAAGCTGGATACCTGACAAACTGCATCGAAACTCTGCGAATAATAAAGACGCCAAAACAGTTGGAACAGAGTTTTGGGGTAGCTACATGATCGTCTTATAGTCTAAACTTCTCTTGGGGACTATGACAGCTTGTGTTTAATCAATGCTCAGACCCCTCTATTGATTGCATTGTGGGGCTGCCTCTTGGCTTTGAGGAATAAGCTGAATGCTTTCGACGGCTTCATAACAGTATGAAGTGTTTTTGCTCTGAAGACCCTATAGTAAGAGGTTTACATTTACAAGTTAATTCCCACGCAAGGGATCGTCAAACATCTTCTGTCCATGCTATATGGTCTCTGGAGGTATGTCCTTTTGAAGGACCCAAATCCACGCTCTAAACTCTTAATCCCGAGAAGTTGAACTTCTAACCCCAGAGCAGCGGAATGCGCTCTTTTTCGACACCCCATGTCAGACCCTTCCAAACCGCTTGCAGGAACAACTGTAATTGACAACGTTGAGCTCTGAACTCTCCACAAGCCACAAAAAAGAGCAGCTATAACTCTCAGCACCACCACCATCGACCATCACCATCACCACCACCACCACCACCAGCACCACCACCACTACGACCGCAAGCGCAACCCCCAAATCCTCAACCCTGAAACCGTAAAGCCCTAAACCTTCAACCCACACACACAAAACAACCCCCGTCGCACCCAAAGAAACCTTTCAAGGAACCCCCACCACTCCTAAACCCTCAACAGTCTCACCCGGAAGCCTAAACCCCCTTTTCCCTCAACCCCAAACGCTCAACCTCAAAATCCTAGACCCGCAACGCTCACAAACCTCATGCACGAATCATAAATCTAGTGGTTTCTTAGCGAATATAGCAACACAATATTAACACATCTATTTCTAAGTACCCCTATTATAAGATACTCCAAAAGGCGTATCTCTAAGTACCCCTAAGATACCCTAAATGGCCTCGATCAGATAAAAACAGAGGGTTTAGGGTTAAGGGGTTTAGGGTTTCTAAGTACCCCCTAAGATACCCAAACTGGCCTCGGGCAGGGAGACGCCGGCCGTCCAAGGCGTTCCTTTCCCGAGCCGAGGGTTCCGAGCGGAAGTGCCGTCCTCTGGAGAGCTACAGAGGACTTAGTTTAGGGTTCCCTTTATTAAGGGTACTATAGGGTTCTGTCACTACTTACTAAGTCCCCTGGGCCTCTAAGTGCAGAGGACTCCTGCTTTGAGGGCTGTAGGGGTTACGGTTTTGAAGGGTTTCAAGGGTTTGGGGCTTGTAGGGTTTAGGGCTCTGGAGCTTGTAGGGTTTAGGGCTTTTGGGATTTATGTAGGGTTTAGGGCTCTAGGGCTTAACTTAATGCTTTAAGGTATTGAATCTCTACCGTTACGGGTCTTAGGGTTTAGGGTTAGGGGCTTTTTTGTATTTCCAAGGGAGCTATAGGTGTGTTCATTAATGCTCTCTTTTTTCAAGGCATTGAAGATCTACAGTTTCAACTGCTGAGCAACGCCACAGCGAACACAAACGCCCAAGTATATGCCTGCGCATTCCCCACGACAACGTGCCCATGCAGCAAGTCACCAGGTCGCCCCGTAGACAGCCCACCCTACGACAACAGAATCAGAAATAGGAGTCAGGAATAGGGGACACTTGGGGATATGGACCCTCTCAATAAAGTCCCGTGTAAGAGAGCCACAAGAAGGGTTAAGAAGGGTCCCCTTCAAGGGGTCTCCCTAATACTACCTAGGAAGAGCACCAACTGCCGCGTTCATGCCGTTTGCAACAGCAAAACCATGGCAAACCAACATGATCCAATGGGTAGACACCCGGCGCACAACACTCTCCACGACAACATAAAATGCATTTCCGATTAGGTTAATCCAGAAACTAGTCTAAAAAGACACTAGCAGTTTCAAAACAACGCTGTGCAGGCGTACACGAATGCGCCAGTAGACACTGGCTTCTGCAAACCCCTCCTAGTACCAGTGCTTCCCCGGCGTATGGCGATCCTCACCGTAAACACACATGTGCTACTCCCCAAAACCTCAAGGCTTCAAGGAGCCCACTTATACTTATACCTCAACCCTAGACTATCAGAGCCTAAACCTTAAATGAATCCTAAACCCTGAACCCCAAAACCTCAAGCGTTTGTGGAATTCCAAAGCAAAAAACCCGGAACCACTAAGTAGGACGGCGCAGGAAGCTAGGCTCGACAGCCGCATCTTATTCCTACTGTTTGGTTGTAATGGGAGAACCCAAAAAAGAAAGAGGGCCCGTTTGCCCTACCAGGTGACAGAGGAAGGGTCCTCGTCTCGCCATTCGGCCAAGGCCTACATGCAGTCCAACCAGACGTGTTCTTCTCATATTTACTGGGATTTAGGTTGGGTTTACGGTTTAGGGTACCTTTCTGGGCTTACGGTATAGGTACAGGCTGTTCAATATTTAGTTGGGGTTAGGGGGTTAGGGAGGGCTTTTTGCGGCTTAGGGCTCCTTTAAGAGCTTAGCGTACGATGGCTACGGGTTCAGGGTCGTTTATGAGAGTTTTGTGGGGGTTGGCACGAGTTTTGTACGGTTGGTGATATAAACTGTGCATTACCCATAATAAGGAATGTACCAAAATTCCCATAGTCTAGGGTCCTTAAGATAATGCAGGATATATACCATCAACCGTATTATACCGAGGGTTTGAGCGGCTTACGAGGGCCTTATAAGGCTTGGTACGGGGAGGGCAAGGGTTGTGCATGGCCGAGGAACGTAACTTAAGTTGCCATAGCAAGATTGATTTTTGTGGTTTCAGGAGGGTGTGGCACTTAAGTTCATGTTAACAGGGCATAAGTTGCAAGAATCTTTCATAAGGCAACCCTAAACCCAAACTGTGACTAAGTTCCCTCACCCCAAGATCCGTCACCCTAAACCGAAACCCGAACCTAGTTAAGTTCCCTCACCCTGAGCCCTAAAACCCTAAACCCTAAACCCTAAACTCTAAACCCTACCCTAAACCCTAAACTCTAAACCCTACCCTAAACCCTAAACCCTACCCAGAGGCTGTGGCTTTCCCCAACCGGCTCAGGAGTTGCAGGGTTGTAATTGGGGTAACTCCATTTAGGGTACTTCCCAGACCTTCCAAAATCCCTTAATTAAGGAATATACCTTAAATTATAATAGGGTCCCTAATATGATTTAAGGTATGTTCATTAAAAAAATGATTTTGGAAGGTCTGGGTTATAACCCTACTTCTAACCTACTTACTAAGTCCCCTGGGCCTCCAAGTATGGCTAATGCCCCTAAACCCTAAACCCTTGAGAATGGAGGTTTCGGTGATGGGAGTCGCTGGGCTTTAGTTTGTAGTTAAAGATTAGGATTTTAGGGTTTTAGGGTTTAGGGTTTTTAGGGGTTTAGGGTTTGAGGTTTGGTGGTTAGGGCATTAGGCTGTTCAACATTGAGTGTTCTAGGGTGTAAGGTGTACCGATTCGGGTTTCATTGTGTTTCAGGATTAGGGTGTTTAGCGCTTTGGGGGATCAGACTTTAATGCATTTTGAGGATTAGGTTTGCATCTAGGCCGTTTAAGGATCACGTAAGTTTTTAGGGCTTGTAGATTAGGGTTCTGGGGCTTTTCGCTAGGAGGGTCCTGGGTATATAAGCATGAAGATTTTGGGGCTTTTGATGATTTAGGGATTAGGTTGTCAGGGGTTTGGGCGGATTCTTGGGTTTGGGTCTTTGGGTGAATTGGGTGGCTTTCAGTGTTACCGGGATTCTATATCTTGAGGTGAGGCCGAGGGTTGCCTCAAATTCCACGCGCCGACACCACGAACGCTTGGTCCGAAACCGAAACGGCTAAAACCCTAGCCCCTAAACCCCTAAACCGTAGAAGCCCCAAACCCCCAAACAGCAGACAGAAACTATAAACTCCGAACTCTATAAACACAAGAGCGGAGGCCCCGCCTCGAAGCGGTAAGTGTTGTCGGCACTCTCGGCCGAGAAGTGGGCCTTCATCGGGCGAAGGGGCTCACAAGCCCAGGGACAACCTTGGGTTTAGGGCGGGTGGTGTAGGGCTCTGATAAAAGTATACTACTACCATATTCCCGAAAGGCTACAGCGATTACTGGGGGTTGAATAGCGAATGTTTTGATCCACATAGACGTATACGACAACGTTCCTCGATTCTTAAGGCTTCTACGCACCAGTTGGGCGCATTAGGGTCTCTGTCTCAGTCCGCAACAAAGCGGAGACGCGAGTTTAGTGCTCTGTCCAAACAATGAAACCCTCAACCCTAAACCGTCAGATGGATGCACTGCAAGGTAAATTGCAAGCCTTTAAACTCTAAACCATCAATTAAACCTTACACACCTCCATCCTGATGTTGTGCACAAACCCTGCAGCTCTGAACCCCTAACCCCTAAACCTCAACGCCAAAGCCTGCAGACGGCCACCAACGGAACCCTGAAAGAAAGACTCTCCCGGTGCCCATGAAGGCCAACAGAAGAAACAGGGTTTTAAGGCTGAGGGCCTGGCATAGGTGCCTTAATCATTCGAAAACGCCTTTGGGCCGAAACTTCAGGGGGGCTTACCCAGACCTTCCAAAATCCCTTAACTAAGGAATATATACCTTAAATCATATTAGGGACCCTATTATAATTTAAGGTATATTCCTTAATTAAGGGGTTTTGGAAGGTCTAGGTATATTGCAATTGCAGTACAACCCTAAGTCTAAACCCTAAAACCCTAAACCTTAACCCCTAAACCCTTCAACCCTACAACCCTAGACCCTAACCCCTAAAGTGAACTCCAGAAAGTTGGAGTATGGATTAATGGTAGGATCGATCATCTATCTACCATCGTGTCGCTTGCAGGAGCAAGACCGACTGTGGTTCCTCTCACAGTTGTCAGTAGCAAAAAGTTAGAACACTAGACTATGGTACAAAAGGGCCGTGGCATGCCACGAGCGCACAAATACGAGCAGCTACCCCTGTAAGAACAAGCAGCTCGAAACACGGCAGAAGCTACTTACATCTAAGCAGGGACATGAGAGGTGCTTCAGGAGCCTCCATATCCGCAATGGGTGCGCTACGAGGGTCACGTCCAAGCGGTGACTGCATGCAGGCACAGGGCAGGCAGAGGCGTCGTCTAACCTCAGCCTGGTACGACCTGGTCAACAGAGGCGTGAAAAGGGTTACAGCCTCAATCCGTGGCAGAGCTTTCTGCCCGTCGCCGCAGCACCGCTCGAGCGCGGTGGCTGCGCAGCAAGACGGACAGTTCTTGCAACAGCTCAGAATGTAGCACCGATGGCTGGGCGTCTTCGCGCGCAGCGGCAGCTCGGGAAATCAGGAGGAGGATCTTCGCCGCTTCAGGTTCCCAAGCGCCAGTGGCTTCGGCCACCAGGGGCACGAATTTGAGCCCCTGCTCGGTGCAGACCTGGGCGGTGCCCATATGCGACGATTTGACCTCGGCATAAGCAGTGGCGGCAGCCAGTGCCTGTTGGCCAGCCCTACCGAGGGACTCCTGCCGCTGTGGCGCTGTGACAGCGAGGTCAAGGGCAGCAGGAGTTCCATAGAGGGATGGCAAATAGATGTCTGCAGGGCGTCGGTGAGCCACGCGGGTGTCATCTGGACGCTGGGGCAGCAAGAGGCCTGGCTTTTCAAGCTCCGGGCGAAGACCGGCACGCTCGGCCCACGCGGCGAGGAGGTCACGCACAGCATTGTGGCGTTGGTTGCGCTCCCCTCCTGCAACACAGGTCCCGGCATGCAGCGAAAAGCGGTCCAATGGTAGGATCCCCTATAATTTACCTTAAAGGGATTACGATAATGATATTCCAACTTTCTGGCTTCTACTGTACTAGATACTAAGGCTTCTACATTCAGCTGCCTCAATGGCCTCCGCCGAGAGGAGGCCCCGGACACCTGCTCGGTTTAGGGTTTAGGGCCTAAGGGTTTAGGGGTTTAAGGTTTAGGGTTTGGGGCTTAAGGGTTTAAGGGTTTAGGGGCTAAAGGTTTAGGGTTTGGGGCTTCAGGGTTTAAGGGTTTAGGGCTTCAGGGTTTAAGGGTATACTCGGGTGCTTGGGTCGATAGTCTGCAGTGCCGCGCCAACCGTCTACAGCAACGAGCACGTATGCATTTAGCTTTCATGGGTAAGTGACAGAACATGCTACATGAGCATTGGAGTTCACTACACAATGCATGCGAAACCTGCTGGAGACGGAACAACAATGAAGGACAAAAGCTTGCGATGGAAAGAAGCAATGAACACCCAAAGCCTAAACATCCCCCGAACAGCTCAAACCCCTAAGCAATAGCCCCACACTCTGAAAAGCAGGAACCTCAGCTAACCATTGATACTGGAGGAGCTAAGGAGCCAGGGATGATGATAATCCCTATTAAATAAGGAGCTAAAGAGCCAAGGGAACCTCAAAACCACTGGTCAGTCAGGATCAAGACCCCAAAGTTTCTGAGTAAGCATGGCCTGAGACTATCGGACATTGCCTTCACGACATGGGCAGTTGTCAAAATTTATGGTACCTTTTTGGGTCCTTAGTATAGTAGGGCACCTAGAATTTAGGGTACCCCAAAAGGCACCATCATTCTGTCAACCACCCACATGGCTTCACCCCATCCCTACATCACGCGGCTTCGGATTTAGGATGCTTACACAGCTTGTGCAGCGAAACTAGGCTGTTCAGTAACCCACAGGGAAAAAGTATATACTTTTTAGGCTTCTTATTTTACAGTAGGAACCCAGAAACCTAAAAGTAAAAAAGTGTACCACTGAACAGCCTGGGAAAGCATAATCAAGACAAGAACCACAAGCTCGAACGACGTGGCCGGAGTAGACACCATCCATCAAACATCCCAGAAAAAACAGGCAGCCAAGCACGTGCAGGTGAGGGAGTGCCTGCTACATAGATGGCCCGACAGTCATACAATCCTGCGGCGCGATACCATGCAGCGTAGCTTAGTAGACATACCCTTGACCCAAAACGCCACGCCTTAATTACACCCTAACCCAAAGACCCTAAGCCCTAAATCTCAAACACTCCAAACCCTGAGCCCTGAAACCCAAGGATCCTCAACCCTGAAACCCAAAGACCCTAATAGGGCCCCAAAAAGCACATAAGCAAAAAATAGGATAGGGATATCCCATATAAATCCCCTTATACTGAAGCCCAATAAGGTAGGGATATCCCCCTAAAATGCTTATGCTTATGTGTTTTTTGGGTCCCTAACCTAAGCCCTAAACCGTCACAACACCGATCGAAAGAAGCGGCACCTGGCCTAGAAGCGGTGTGTCCAGCCTGGACGAAGGAACTCCAGAAAGCAAGGAATGGTTTGGGGTTTAAGGGTTTAGGGTTTGGGGGGTTAGGGTGTATATGGCTTAGGGTTTAGGGGTTGGGGGTTTGTGGTCTAGGGTTTAGGGGGGTTTAGAGGGCAAGGAAGTAGCTTGTAACTAGTGTCGACATGGGCACGATAGAGGCCTTGGGGCTCAGGGTTTGTGGCTTGGCGTCTGGGGTGCAGGGTGGTTTATCATGTTGTCTTGAAGTATTGTATCGACGATAGTCTTGAAGTCTATCTTGTTATGTAGAGGGCTGGTACAACCCCTAAACTATCTGACCCCTAAAACTTAAACCCTAAACTCTACTGCCTACAACCCCTAACTTGCAACCCAGCTGCTGACTTCTCTGGGCCACGGCGAAGTCGGAAGGCCACCTGCATGGGACTTTTTTGTCACAGGCTCCAACTATCAGCAGGGTTTACGGTTCAGGCTTTCGGCCTAAGCTCCTAAACCCCATTGTCAGGGAGCCTTTAAAAGGAAGCCTTAACTTAGAGAAGACCCAAAAAAATCTCTGGGTCAGCCAATGTGCAGATGTCCGACCCCCACCAGCACAGACAGACTGTTCGGGGCCTAGGGTTTCACGTCAAGGCTTCGTTCTGAGGGTTTCGCTAGGATCTAGACGAAGGAGTTCCGGATTTTAGGGGTTGAGGCTTGAGGACCTTACAGATCTCAGTTTCGTCGCGTCATGTCATGCCAAACAAACTCGGCCTTCACGCAGCTTACTCCCCCCCCCCCCCGCTTGGTTTTCTCAAAGAACACTTTGGATGTCCTGGACGAGTAACCAATTACTTACATCAGGTTTCAGTTCTAGGTTAAGCCACTACCAGACTGAGTTGCACGCACAGTATTGCGTCTATCACGCGCCTGAGTAGCAGCAGCAGGGAGCCGCATGCAGCGAGAATCACAGACCTGCATTGGCACATGCATGCCTCAAGGTGCCTATTTCAGTAGCATTCAACTACGCAGAAAAGATGCCAAACTGCGCTTCCTTGAACCCTAAACCCTAAGGCTTTATACCTGAATAACGTTTCGATATGATATGGGTTTACAGAGACAATGACCCACCAAGTACATTCCGTGATTCCAACAGTTTTCTGGGGTTCTAGGATAACCGAGAAGGCCTACTACCCTGTACCATCTTGCATGATAAGGGCCTATAAGGGCCTGCATGTTCTTGTTTAGAGCACTTGGTATGTTCCTGAATTAACGGGTATTGTGCTCTCTGGGAGTGCGCGAACACAGCGGCCGGTCCTGTGGGACCACCGGCGCCTGGCAGCCATGACTCCGGGACGAGATGCAAGAGTAGCTGATGCGGCCTGTCTGCGGTTTATGGGGCTCGAAATAACTGTAAGTTTTACACCCTTACAGTGTGTATCAGGTTTTAAAACGATTGTACAACACCCCCCCCCCCCCCCCAAACTCTAGCCTGCATGTTGCGGACTGGGGACAGTTTTATCTTATTAGAGGCATTTCGAAAGGCATGAGTCCGAGCTGATCCTCTGCTCAATGACTGTTAATTTACTTTCTGTGCTGCGGGTGCCAACATGGAGGTCACGAGTAAAATGCTGGAGGAGCACCGTGAGAGCTCCAATCGCTGTCGCTGTAGCCAGGAAGCTCTGCGGCAGGCACATGTGCAGCGGTAGCGGTGCTGTACAGACTGACGATCGCAGCAATTCACAAACACATCATAAGGCCTGTGGTAGGGCGTGGCGGTACCCTACTTCCTTCATTGAAACTTGTGCTTTTGTGAACCATACCACCCAGAACAAACCCTCAACCCCTAAAGCCACACCACCCTACCCTAAACCCTAAACCATAACCCTAAACCCTACACCTGAGACCCTATGAACAATAGAACCCCCCCCCCCCCCCCAAAAAAAAAAAAAAAAAAAAAAAGAAGCTCTCAATCCCTAAAGTTGGACGACCCTAAACCCTAAACCCGATAAACCCAAGAAGCCCTATGAACCATAAACCCTGGAAACCCTACCCCAAGGGTCCAAGTACCTAAATAATAATCAGATACTCTCCAAAATCCTAACCTCCCTTGGGGCTCTAAACCACAAAGCCCCTAAACCCCCAAAGTTTGATAAACCCAAGAAACCCTATAAACCCTACAGAAAAAACCCTAAATCCCGAAAGTTTGATCATCGTCCTGGCTTCCTTGGCTCACGGCAGGCTTGCGCCATTCCGCCATCAGGGGAGCGAACTCGGGCCTTCTCACACGGCATCTTAGCATCCCCCCCCATAGCACCCTTCAAGGAATATAATTAACGTATACCATGTATAATAGTAAGGAAGGAATATGGCGTATACCATTAATGTATACCATGTATAATATATTATAAGGCCCAAAACATACCGCTTATGGAGGAGGTCCTTCAAGGAATATGGCGCATACCCTTTGTACTATTAAGGCCCAAAGCATACCCCGTTATGGAGGAGGTACTGTATCGGCTATGGGGCTGCTCTGTGGCCTGATCCCTGGTTCAGGGCAGATGTTTGGTCCGGGTACTCCCAGGCAACAGGTGTGCGCCTCTGTATATGCAAGTTCCCTAGAGTAGTTGACCCCAGGCACAGAACCTGGATACTGTATCCACCTGTAGCCTCCATTGTAGTTCCTTTTTCGGTTTAACCAACATTATGCTAAGGATCCCCTAAACCCTAAACCCTAAACCCTAAACCCTAAACCCTAAACCCTAAACCCTAAACCCCAGAAATAAGGAAGTACAATGGAGACTCTAGGCAGATTTCAGAAACCCCAAGGGCCGGAGCTCTGAACTTCTCCAGCATCCTAACGGAAGCATGTTTCTTGCTAGGATACCCAGTAACCTAAGAACAAAAAGGCCTCTCTAATGTGGTATTGGGTAACTTTATAAGGAACCTAGGACTACAAAAAGGGAATAAGGGTACTACTGGGCATCCTAGTAACTCTACCCATGGTCTCCAATGTATGCCCTTTTCCCTAAAACTATAAACCCCGAACCCCGTTATAAACCCAAAACCCTGAAACCCGTTATCAAGCCTGAGGCCAAACCCCATCATAAGCCCTAAACCCAGACCACATTAGAAACCTAAACCCTAAACTTGCCCTAAACCCTACACCACAGGAAGTCGGGACCTCGAGAATGTAGATGCCGGCAAGGAGAGGCAAGGTATCCTGGCCACGCGCAGCTGGAGTTACGGCCATGGGCCTTAGGGTTTATAGGGCTGAGGAAGGCAGTGAATCCAAGAGTTAAAAAACATTAACTCTTGAGTTTATTGCCCGGCATCGGGCCGCCTTGGACCCCTTCAGGCCCGCACAATTTACTTATGATTTAATTGGCCCTGAACGTTGCGCGACGCTCCATTCCACGCCTGTCCTGCTCCTACACGGCACAGTTAAATCATGATTTAATTCTTTCTGCTACACTATCCGGACCCGAGGCGACATATAAATCATGATTTAATTGTTCTGAATCAATGACCAAATCTGAAACAATTAAATCAACTCGAACAGTTGGCAAGAACGCAACAATTAGATCATCATGTAATTGCCTCGCAGGATCCTTGTTTCAGGCTCAAGGTTTAAGGTGAGATGCACGATCCGCATGCTTGTTTGTCTACTGCATTGTGTGCAGGTGTGTCTACGGGACGTGTCCCTACTCGACTAGACGAGACTAGAGTAGACCAGAGTAGACTAGAGTAGGCTACACTATAGACTAGAACCGAGTAGACTAAACCAAACCAGTCTACTTATTTGGGCTAGCTTTCCCTGGACCGTGATAGGATTCAACTACATTACTGGTGTTACCAAGAAGGACGCCAAATTCCACAACTGAATCATGATTTAATGTGGCATCCCGCTAATGTGGCGATCTACTTATCTAGGCTAAAACTCCTTGGACCGTGATTGTAACCCCAACTACATTACTGGTGGTTACCAAGGAGGACGAATTCGGCAACTAGATCATGATTTAACGTGGATTCCCGCTAGTGTGGCGATCGACTTATTTAGGCTATAAGTCTTTGGACCGTGATAGTAACCCCCAACTACATTACTGGTGGTTGCCCAGAAGGATGCCAAATTCTGCAATTAAATCATGATTTAATGTGATATCCCGCGAGCGTATGGCACACAAGTCTCTGGTAGAATATACTGGCACACAGGGAGACAGTAAACTCATGATTTAATTGTTTATTAGAGACATGCATACCGACACAATTACAACCCGATTTAATTGTGTCTTTGGAAGGTACAAGGTATGTCAAACCCGGACAATGAAATCAAGGTTTAATTTTGTTTAACTTCTGGAGTCATTGGTTTTCTTATAGGGCTTAGAGTGTAGGGCTCATGGGGCTGAGGGCTTATAGGGTTTCGGGTTTAACGTTTATGGTTCTGGTTGAATAAGGGGTTTCGAGTTTTAGGCTTTGGGTTTAGGGCTTCTAGGGTGAAATGATTCCCCAAAAGGCTCCAGGTGCAGAAATAGGACTAACTTTGGGCTCCAAAGTCTATAAACAGCGCCTGCTGTGGGCGATGTGGAGCCTGAGATGATTAGAGACTCCAATATCCCTTAATTAAGGAATATACCTTAAATTATAATGGGACTAAGGAATATTCCTTAATTAATTAAGGGATATTGGAGTCTCTGGGTAATTAGGGGTTTAAGTAGCGCAGGGATAAAAGAAGTATAAACTCTTATTTCATAACGGTTCCTTTGAACAAAATGTTACAGCATGGTGGGTTTAGGGTTCTCAGACCTTCCAAAACCCCTTAATTAAGGAATATACCTTAAATTATAATAGGGTCCCTAATCTGATCTAAGGTATATTCCTTAATTAAGGGGTTTTGGAAGGTCTGGGTTTAGGGGCCTGACACAGACCAGGAACAGTCGGATCCCAAACATCGGCCCCAAATTTTGGGGCTCAGGATGGGGAGAAAGACCCAGCACCAGAAAACAACAGAAGTCTCAAAGCCATTAAAAAATCTAAATGCCCTAAAAAGCCTGGAAGAAAGACCGAACACTAAAACTCAGGTACCGAAACACCTAAAAGTTTGAATCTAAAAAAGCAAGCCCCAAACCCTAAACCCTATAAACCCTAAACCCCTAAACCCTAAACCCTATAAACCCTGAACCCCTAAACCCTAAACCCTATAAACCCTAAACCCCTAAACCCTAAACCCTATAAACCCTGAACCCCTAAACCCTAAACAAAAATCTCCCAGTCGAAGCCTCAACCCTATGAGCCCTATAAGCCCCATAAGCTCTATAGGCCCTATAAACCCTATAAATCCTAGAGGCCCGCCTATAAACCCTACACCCTAAAACAAAAATCCCGGAGTGGAAGCCTCACCCTCGGAACTCCAGGGGCGGAGATCCTGCTGCAGGCCACTTCAGTGCGGCACAGGGAACTGGAACCCCAAGGGGTCCAAGTACCTAAGAGTCATATGGGAGTCTCCGAAAATAGGGGACCCTGATCTAGTATCCCAAATAGTAGGATGCTTATTATAAGGACTCCAAAGTCAGGTGCCCCTAATTTTCGGAAACTCCCATATACTCTCCCAAATAGTAACCTACAGAACTACTATCCGAAACCTAAGTACCTTATTGTTGTCAGGCATCCTACCTACACGGGAACTATATAAGGGCAACTATATAAGGGCTCTATAATATAGGGGCCTTGATAGGGAGAATAGGGTTGCGGGGCCCCTTCCACTATTAAGTATAATTCATAAGGAGCCCCCAAAATAGTATAGTTAAATAGGTTGGACCCTATATTACCTAGACCCCCAACTACCCTCGGTTGTACCCTAACTACGCAATATTGAGGTCCTGGTGTAAGAGTTCTAGAAGGTTGCCGTTTGGTTTCCTTACTTCGGAAACTCCCATGTGGGATAAATTAGATAAGTCCGCGAGTGTTCAAGTGGCAGATCAACTTGACAGCTTATGCCTGGGTCTGCAAGGGAATCGCAAGGCTTTAGAGCATCAGGGTTTTAGGCACGTCGAAAACATCTCAGGCCGTTAGGGGTTTTGTCATGAGGGTCATACTATAGGGTTTGGGGCACGATCGTCGCGATGTGTGCTTGCACCGTTTAAGTTTACATTCTCCGTTCGAGACCGTAAACCCTAAACCGTCTCAGGTACGAAGGCATCCCCGCTGGTCTCTTCAATGCCTAGCTGAACCCTAAAGAACCTATCTGCAAATCAAATTTCCTCACATAGGTTCAGGGTGGGTGCTTAACGGGTCCGGGTAGAGGGACATCTTTTCAGGGCTTCTTAGTATGACTTCTTCATATAGGTCG